TTATATATATGAATTATATAACAATTAAATTTATTAGAATAATCTTTTAATAAATTTAACTCTAGCTACAGAATAATCTTCTAACAAATTAAATTCTAGCTATACATTCTGGAGTTTGAGATCTCAACGAAATTTCGAAACTATTATTATAGAATTAATAAATTGAACAGCATATTTTTGGATGAATATTTGGTGTAGAAGAATGCAACGTGAGTTTCAGTTCATGAAGATTCAATCATGATCACATGAGACTCATCTATACAAAGAAAAATATGACTTTGCTTAATTCAGATCTTTTTAAGAGATTTTTTTCTATATCCTTGTTTTACATCTAATGAATAATAGACAGAAATCGTGATTATAAATGCTTAAAACGCATGATCGATCAAAACGAATGCAGTTGGGTAAGTCCACCACAACCTTGCTTTAAGAGACTGTAAACTGTAAGCCGTAAGTTGCAAGTGAAAAAACATTGGCCACAGAACTTATGCTTTTAGGCCATATAAAAATTGAGTTTTTTTCAATTCACTTAAGTCTAACGATTAAAGTCTAAAAATTGTGCAAAGACAGTTTGAAGACAGAAATTATTGTTACTTAATCTCTTTCGACTTATGACTTAAGGTAAAGTTGTGGACCGATACTTATGCGTCGTCTACAATACACGGAGTAAGAAGTAAGAGTAAGAAATTGATCAATCACAGTCAATTATTCTTCTCACATTGGACTGTAATTGATCAATTTCTTACTCTTGCTTCTTACTCCGTGTATTATAGACGACGCATTAAACCCGATCTATAGGTATAAGATGCGGAACCAATTCGGAATGCGTCACTTAAAATTGATGCATCGAATATACTTGAATTGTAGCCGAGTGTTGCTTCAACTATTCACTATTGTGTCCGTTGAATGATTGAAATATTATATGGTCGACAATGTAAAGAATCAAATTCAATAGGATTCATCTAATTCGATTGAATCCTGAGTTCTACATATCGATTTCTAAACATAATTTCAGAAAGTAACATTGTACATAAAAAGAATAATTTTGTTGAAATATCTAAAAATTTAACTAGATTTAGATCTAAAGATTTTGTTGGACTATCAAAATAATTATGTACGTTCAAACTGATTGCTAAAATGTTAAAACTTTTTACAACTTTTTGCTTATCGTGCTTGATATTCCTACATAATTATTTCATGATCTAATAAAATTATTTTCAGATCTGTATCTGAATAATCCTTCTCGGAATAGTTCCCATCGTCGTCTTAAAATCAAATATGCCTTTCGAATTCAATTCGACATGCCTCAGTTGAATTGGTACAGGTAAGTAAGATGACCTTCCCAAAAAGTGAACGAAATCCAGCGGAGTAGTACCAAACGAAAAAAGGTCTCGCATAAAATAATACATTGGTTTCGACATTGATTTTTAAAGTCAGAATTTCAAAAGTCAAAATAGTATTATTAATTACTCGATTTTTGGCAGTCTACGAAGGAACATTTAGTAATAAAAACATGAAATAAGTGAATAATATCAAAATAGATCAATAAAGGAGCATAAAAGATTCCGCAAGGTAAGTGCAAATATATATTAATTCACTTTACATGTATACATCGATATAGACATTTCGACCATATCTAGGTATTTTCAATATCAAAATTAAAATTAAAACAGATATTCACGCTACTTACAATATGTTACGTCATTATTAACCGTCCAAAATAAAATATTTCTTACAAATTGTTATATCATTGTCGTATATTAGTCTGGATTCTTTGCGATATCTTAATATGATACGATAGTTTAAGCTTTATTTATCTTTGTTCCTTTAGTGTTTTGTGTGTGTGTGTGTATCTGTGTGTGTGTGTGTGTGTGTGTGTGTGTG